TTATCACGCTTGACAATGCAAAACTTTAACCGTTAACAACTTTAATTTTCCATAATTAAAAAATACTCCCCTTTTAAATACTTGCTCCACTTTTCTTTTTCGATCGTTTTTAAATACTTGCTCCATTTCCCTATTTGGAAAGCTATTACAATATTTAATTAATTTCTATCACCTAATGGACCCAACATGAATAATATTTTATTAATTTCATATTCTCTCTCCTCCATTTCTCTCCACTACTTTTGCTTGATACAATTTTTTATTCTTCCACCTACCCCACTATCTTCATATTTTATTACTTTCTCCAATTTCTCCTAAAACTCCGCGCATGGAGAAATGGAGCAAGTATTTAAAAACGGAGGGAGTATAAAAGTTATATATTATGATAGTATTTATTGAGACGAATTCAAAATGATCCAACATAAATATGTTTTTCCTTACATATTATTCACAAAACACGGTCAAAGGAGAGGTGGTAAATAGTGTAAAAGTCAAAGCGTGTCAAGTAAAAAAGAACGGAGGAAGTATTCTATATCCATCCTTCACTTTTTTATGTTTGTGTGGACACGACACGAACATGGACACAGACACGGGACACGTGTCCAACCCTTCATTGTACACTCGGATAGGGATGGTAGTGGGTCGGGTTAAATGGGAGACCCGCCTCATCCCCGCCCAAGTGGGGCGGGGATGGAGGGAGGTTTGGCGGGTGATGGAGTGGGGATGGGTATAAAATGTGTACCAGCCATGGATGATGGGGCGGGTATGAATTTTAAAGTAGACCCGCCCCATATCCGCCCCGTACCCACCTTATACCCGGACCATATTTCTTTTAGAAGAGTTTAGAATTTATGAAACTTGATACCCCCTAAGACCCAATAAGCTTAAATAATGAAAGTCCCAATTTTTCTTAATCTAATTTGATATAATCGTCATTAATGTGATACAATAGAGCATCATGGCAAAGGGTTTGGGACGATTTTGGGGCGGGTATAAGGTGGGTATGAATATCCAAGTGGGTGATGGGGTGGGGATGGATCCTATCTAGTACCCGGTGGGGCGAGTATGGATGTGGATATTATACCCGCCACGGGTGGTGGGGCAGGGATGGGTATAAGATTTTTAGATGGGTATGGGTATGGAGGTACCATCATCCGCATCCGACCCGCCCCGTTGCCATCCCTACACTTGGACATTTCCACTAAGAGTGGAGAGGTAAAAAAAATATCTTATTCGAAAACCACCATATATAGACAAGATGGAGAGAAAAAAAGATTGTCATATATTAGGAGAATTTACCAAGGAAATAAATAAATAAATAAATAAATAAATAAGGGTAGAAATAAAGAAAAATTAGAATCTTTGTAGTATATAATTTATTTATAAAAATTTAAGTGATGTATTAACGTATCCGTACTCGTGTCCAAATATCAGACAGATTTTACGTGTCCTAAAATTTTGAAACTTGTCAGATCGGGCACTTATGTCTGTGTCCAACATCTGTTCCCAAATCCATGTAACATAGTATTTCTTGGTATGGTGAATTGTTTTGGTAAGTTTGAGTTGGCTATTGATCTATAGTGCATTGTAGTATTCTATCCCAAAATCAAATGACATTAATATATATATATATATATATATATATATATATATATATATATATATATATATATATATATATATATAAGACCATTGACTTTTATATCATTTTAAATTGAATTAACTCTCTTTTGGTTAATCCTTGACTCACTTGCTTTTTATTTTATTTGTTTCTTATTTAAAGATGTACAAGCTTCAAACAACAAAAATAATTTTGATTAACTTAGTTCAAAATAATTTTAATCAGTAAAAATCAATAACTTTATAAAATAGAAATGATAGTGCATAAGAAGAAAAGAATTAAAATAATCAATAAAAATGATTTTAAGTCTATAAAAATAATATTCTATGAGTATTACTTTAGCAAAAATAATTTAATTTTATTATAATAATATAAGTTTAACAAAAATAATTTAATATCTTTTATCAAAAAAAAAAAAATTAATTTCAGTACATACTATGTGAAAAGAACAAGGAAGGCATACAAGATATATGCAATAAACTCCCTTTTTAAATTGGTTATGACTAGGGTACATATAAAGAATTATAAAAGAAAATTCTAAATATATATCAAATTTTAAATACATGACTCGCTAAATGTTATAATATATAAATGTTAAATTTTTTCAATATATTTATTTTTAACTCCTTATATGTGATTATGTTGCATATTCATTTCATTTTAAAAAAGCTAAACATACAATCCCTTAAGGTAGCAGAATTTTTACAGTTTAATTTTGTTTGGATATGAGCTACTCCGTATATTATTATTGCTTTAAGACTGCCAATGATCCCAATTAAAACCCCATCAAACATGCAAAGCAAGACTCTTTTTCTTTTGGAGAGAGAGAAAAAAAGTTGATATATCCGGGATATTGTGAAAGAAAAGGTAATATATATACGAATTTAGAAAAGTACTTATTTCTAATTATACATGTATTCATACGGAGTAATTTGAAGGCTGATACCTATAATAAACACTTTTTCTCAACATGAAGTATATTTTTTTTTTATGCAATTGTCTTTTTAATTATTACAATTCTTTTATGTCTATAAAGACTAAGGGTATGTTCTCTTCAACTTATTTTCATTTCAATTCTTAATTTCCTTCTCTCATAAATTATTCAGTTCAACTCTGATAAGTTCAGTTCAATTCATTTCATTTTAATTCAGTCAATCAAAATACGCTCTGTTCTATTCAACCTAATTTGCATTTATTTTCTAAAACTATTCATTTTTATTTTGTTTGAAATGCAGAGTATACATTATTGTGCGTGACTGTACTTGTGTGAGCTTATTAGAATAAAAAATCTTTTATAATCACTAAAAATTATTGTATATGAAAACAACTACTCTACATACTGTTCTAAGTTTATCTTCGCAAAGGCAAAGTAAATTAAAAGGAAACACACAACAAGCCACAATTGTTACCATTCTTATTGTGAAATATAAAACGTGTTACTATGCTAGTGGACATTATTATAGTCAATATTTTTTTTGGAACAACATTAAAAGTCAATATTTAAGTACATGGTAACATTGCCATCTATCAATAATACTAATATAACCTCATGTAATAATATACTTTCTTCGTTTTTTTTTTACTTGCAAAACTTTTCTAAAAAGGAAATGTCATAATACTTGCAACACACTATAAAAGAAAAGTTACTTTAGGGAAAAAATATATTATATCCCCTATTTAAAGCACATGACTCACTAAATTACACTCTTAACAACCACTCATCTTATTTTAAAGTTTATTATATCATGTAAACCCCACCTTTCTTAATTACCGCGCTAAAGGGTGTGTTGCATGTAAAAGAAAACGGAGAAAGTAAGTGTGTACAGGCTATTAACACACAATTAAAGTCAAACATCAAGTCAATTCGTCAATCTAAGCTACATTAAATTGAAAAAGTATTAACATATTTGGCAAAGGTGATACCTTATTAGCCTATTAGGGACGGACACTTTAAGGGTGTAGTTTTCTTATTGTTTCTCCTCAGCTCACTTTTAAATTATCTGACCCCTGATTAGTGTTTGAGGACATATATAAATATATTGGATATATCTCTATACTATGGAGTACAAGAAAAATGGGATAAAATCTCCTAAAAATAATCACCAAATCTCACTTCATTTTATTTTTCTTTAGCTGTATACACTTTTATGAGTTTTGTTTTTAATATAGAAAATATGAATGTATAAAATAATAAGAATATAATAAAAGTGAGAAAAATACAAAGGAAAAGTATATGAAGTATAAAGTAAGAAAAAGTATGTGAATAAAAAAAACTACAGTGTAAAAGAGATAATATGGTGATAAAATGGTGTTTGGCCAAAAATATTACGAGAGTACAAAGTAAATAGAAGTGGTAGAATAAAGTTATAAACACCTCAAACCAAATACGGGCAAATACAAAAGTTTATCTGTTAGATAAACGAATTTTTGTTAATTTGATGAAATGTTTGTAAATATATTAAAATAACGTGGTCATTTATTCAGTACTTTTGGTGAGTTGTCTAATTACTGTTTGCAACTTGTTTTTACTATTTGGTGAGGAAATTACACATGTACCCCTCAACTACTACATGAAAAGACACATGTAACCTTCCATTGGTACTTTAAAAGACGATTATACCCCAAGATAAACAAAATCTGGGGAATTAACTTAGTACAGCTCACCAAATACTACGTAGTTAGTTAAAAAAAAAAAAAAAATAAAATAAAAAAAAAAAAAAAACCACAAACAAATATATTATAGGAAACAACTCAAATACTCAATATTTTAGGAAGGAGGGTGTATTATCCATTAATCTATGGAGTATTATACGTCTGTAACTCTGTATGTATAAACTAAATATCATGTATAATCCAAAAAAAGCCTTTTATATAATTATCTTTGTTTTGTAATTAATAAAGAAAATATATACTGCGTATAAAAACAAGAACAAAAACGAAGAATAAAAAAGCGAGGGAACTAAAAATGTATAATATTGTAGTATGGTACTACGTATTAATCTTGTGAAGGAGGCCTTTGAGTTCTAGCATGATTCTATTTCTAAAATTTTAATTCTCACATCATAACTAATATCCAATATAAACCTCTCTCAACCTTTACTTTCTTCTTTTTGTCTCTTTCTCTCTCTTCTCCCCGTGAACTTTTTTACATTCATTCTTCATCATTATTATTAAAAGTATAACCCAATAAAATAACAATGTAGTTAAAAAAAAACCATAAAACATCTCATATACTTTATAGTTTAATTTAGTAGAAAAACAATAATTACAAAGCTTAATCAATAATCACACAAGCAATTATTAAAATTTGGCAAATTTATTTGATTAATGTGTGACAGAGATAATTAAGAAAAAAAAAAAAAAAAAAAAAGAACTTAACTGGGTTCTTCTGGCATCACAATGAGAGACCAAGAACAATTCCATTGCCATTATTGTAATAATTAAAGCTAAACTCAAATAATTCATCTTCTTCTTTCTTCTCTTAATTTAACTTTGTAAGTTCCTGCATGTAATATATAATCGATTTGTTAATCAATTTTCTCAAGAGAAAAGTCCTAGACTCCTAGCTCATGTATGCCGGTTTTGGAAATAATTACCTGAATGATACCGTTCACGTAGACTCGGGATATCGGAATCTAATCCCGATATATAAATGTTGCATGTAGGGAAAATTGTTGATGAAATTGGCAATGTTATAATCGCTTGGTTTAGAGGGTTACCTAATTTTTGTTAAAAAGGGTGATTAAATATAAATGTGGGAAAAAACAGAGAGATAAAAATGTTGGAAATAGAGAAAGAAAGAAACAGGGGATGTTAATTAGAGGATGAGTTAATAATTAAGTATTTATAAGTTCAAAAAAATGAATGTTTTGAGAAGGTGGTAGTGGGAATATGAGAATCATTCACTAAGTTTAATTTCTATATTGGACTTTTCCACATTATTATTATACAAGTATTTTTTTTTTTTGTTAATTTATTTAATTTATTATTTTTTAATTATTGGGTTTGTTATGGTTGACTGATGTTTTTTTTTTTTGTTGGTATAAAATAATTTGGTGTTTAATACTTTGCGTCATAGTATAAGTAACCGAAATACCAACTTGTAATATTGATGAGTTACTTTAGTCTTTAATATATGGTGACTACTTTTCATTTGAAGAGTAAAATCGAGGGTATGCTATCGAAGGTATGCTGTAGCTCACTCTGTTATTAGGACTCTTTTTTCCTAATTTAGGGAGAAGGCCATAAGAGTATTCTTTTTTTTTTTTTTGACAACCATAAGAGTATTCTTTTTTTTTTTTGACAATCATAAGAGTATTCTTTAAAGTAATATCCTTATCACAGCTTTTGATACAACTATTTTTTTATTTTATTTTTTTTTTATTTTTCTACATTATAAAACTCTAACTTTTCATTTACTACGATGTGTCCCATTTTTGAAAAATCACACTATAACCAGAGGCGTACCTTCATTGAGACTCGCAAGGGCTTGACCCCTGAAAGCTTTTTGAAAAAAAAAAATGGACCGTTTGACAAAAAAGCCCAAAACAAGAAAAGCACCCCCAATTACCATATAAGCTTACATATTAGTAAAAGAAAGAGTTTCTTTTAACAATCTGACAACTAAAATGATAAAGTGGGCCACTTTTACTGTTTTGTTATTACTAAAAGTCTGTTCTTTTACGTTGAAATTCAGTTCAGTTCAGTTCAACTCAGTTCAATTCAGCTCCTAATTTCCTTCTCTTATAAAATATTCATTTCATTTCAGTTTAGTTCAGCTCCTAATTTCCTTCTCTTATAAAATATTTATTTCAGTTCAGTTCAGCTCAATTCAGTTTAGTTTAGCTCAGTTCAGTTCAGTTCAGTTCAGTTCAGTTCAGCTGAGTTCAGTCAATGAGAACAGGTCCTAACTCTCCTCCCTCTATGAGCATGCAACACTATTGCAATGATAGAGTTTTATTTAACAATTTGACAACAAATTTGTGAATGATTGTCAATTCATGTTATCAAAATTTACTCAATATATGGTATTGAAATTCTTTAGTTATGTAAAAAAATTGATTTTTTCCCATCAATTTTAACGTAAATCAAACATTATACAGAGTACTATGTATATCATATATAAGGTCAGACACTACAAATCATAAATGATTATAAACGCAAAAGTTGATTTTACAAATTTTCTTGTTTATCACATACGAGCAATTGCTTGGTAAGCCAGTAACAACCAGTGTTATACTTTGTCACGTCTCATAACATGACCCAAACTTATCAGATATTTGCTTGGTAAGAAGTATTAAATTTAAGTTATTTAATATGTGCGAAATGCTATGATGTATATTGTACAATAGAAGATGTTAAGAATTTTCGGCCCCTAATAAAATATGTTTCAAGATCCGCCACTGACTATGACCCCAAAATATATTTAGTATCTATAAGATAACCTTGCCGTTATCCCGCCATTAACAAATTCTATTAGTGGGACCCACTCACCACTTTGTAACTTTTTTTTTATCGATTTGCATATTGAAAATGGGTCCGTTAAAGGTTTTGGGGGTTATTTTGATTCTTAAGGAACCAAATTGAACTCAAATTTGGCAAAAAAAAATAACGTAAATGCCTTATTATGCGTATTAAAAAATGTCTTGATTTACGTGTTTATTACGCAAAATGAGACATTTATGTTATTTATTTGCTAAATCTGAGCTCAATTTGGGTTCTTAAGGACCAAAATAGCCCCAAACTTTTAACGGAACAATTTTCAACATCCAAATCGATAAAAAAAATATAATTAAGTGGAGAGTGGGCCCTACTAACAGAATTTGTTAACGGTGGGATAACGCCAAGGTTACTGTATAGAAACTAAAAGTATTTTAAGGTTATAGTGTGGATTTCTCAAAAAGAGAAGGCATATCGTAGAAAACGGAAAGTAAGAGGGTCACAATTTTTTTTTTTTTTTTTTTTCCTATTTCAAAATTATAGGCTCTCTATGTTTTTGTAAGTGGATCGTTTTGACTAATACCTTGTTCTAACAAATCCATCAATAGTAAAATAATGCTTAAGTGGAAGGAATTTATAGGAATTTATTGTAACGTTGATCAAGTTAAGCCCAACTCAGCCTAATTTTGGGCAAGCTATGGGTTAAAATTTTCGGCTTGAAGTCAGGTTGCGCTGAGCCATCTTATTTTTTCGTAATCTTTCCGCAGGCTTTGAGCATGAATTTCTATGAAAATTTCATCATACATCCGCGTGTACCATGCACACCTGGTCAAAATAATACAAGGGTTATGAAAAGGCAGAAAGAAGGTTGTGTACAATTATTAATTACATGAGCAAAAAAATTCGATAAAAACGATACTGTCAACTCTTTGATTTAAGGGATTGATTTGTTATTTATAAACCTTAATTTATAAAATTGATTTATTATTTGCATTCCATATTTTTTTGGTAAAAAAAATTATAAATAAAAATTATATATATCTATATATATATATATATATATATATATATATATATATATATATATATATATATATATATATATATATATATATATATATATATATAACATGCTCTTTATATATGATGAATGTTCTTTTGTCATAATTTGGAGTCATGTTTAATATTTTTTTTATCCAAAAGAAATATGTTTATGAGTCTGATCAATATGTTTTTTTTTAAGTTTAATGTTTTTTTGATATCGTCAAGTGGTGGGATGATATTCTCTATTGGCTGGGTGATATCCTCTATTGGCAGGATGATATCCTCTACTAATTAGATGATATTCTGTATTGGCTATATGATTTTCTTTATTGGATGAATGATATTCCTACTGGCTAGATGATATCCTCTATTGGCTGGATGATATCCTCTACTAACTAGATGATATCCTTTATTGTCTATATAATATCCTTTATTGGCTGGATGATATTTCTACTAACTGGATGATATCCTCTATTGGTTGGATGATATCCTTTATTGACTATATGGTATCCTTTATTAACTGGATAATAATTCTACTAGCTAGATGATATCATTTATTGGCTGGATGATAACCTCTATTGGCTATATGTAGGGAATATTTCAAGCATTACCCCTAACTTGAACCCCACTGTGATCATACACTAAAGTACGGCGGCGTCCAAAGGGAAAGAAGATAGAGCAAAAGAGTCGCCAACAAGTTTTTTAGGAACTTGTAAACCGTTCACGAGGTGAAGGTTACACCCCTTAACGATCCAAGAGATCGTCAACTGCAATAGGTCTTGAACCATTACTGATAGTTCGGGGATGAAGGTACAAATCCAATCTAAAAGAGATTGAACCTGCCCTAATAATAGACCTCTACTTTATTCTAATTGTATTCATGTGCGCTTTCTGACTAACATGCAATCAATAGGTTTACCCTAAACCTATTTAATTTATGTTGATTGAATATCAATGCACAAATAAAACTATTATTGGCGATCACTTGAATTATAATCAAATTAACCCTAAACAAGATTATTAATTATCTTATTAAGCGTGATTACAAGTACAAATTCCCTTTAAACATGCATAAAAGGTGTGATCAAGCAATAACAATAAAAATCAAGCAACATAATAATAATAATAATAATAATAATAATAATAATAATAATAATAATAATAATTGAAATAACAATCATAATAATTAAATTAATCATGTTAAAGCATAATAATAGTAAGATCCTAGGCATGATACTAACAAGATTAATAACAAACCCTAGCATGTCACTAAACATTAAAAAATCAAAGCTTTAACCCTAACATGATACTAACATGCTATTAGGAAATAAAATAGGAAGCATCGCAGGAAACACAATTGTCACGTTTGATAATAGAAATTATAATTGTTACCCTAAACATAATACTAGGAAGATCAAAATACCCTAACATGACATTATGAATCATTATAATAACCAAGACATGATTTCTATATCATAATATCAATAAATCAATTAAAGCACTTACTTAGATGACTCGTATCTCTTTCTAATAACAAAATACACGCGTTAGTAACTTCAAGGAAAATAATAAAACAAACAATTAAATTAAATAATTGAAAGAGAGATTTGGGACCAAACCCTCATAAATTAAAACCTTTCACGTCTAGGGCGAAGGCAACTTCGAACTATGCTAGGTGTATCTAAGTTATGCGAATGCGAAATTTTGTATTTGTGAAAAGGCTAGTTTAGAAAAGAGAGAGAGAGTAATCAAGAAAATCTTGATGAGAGTTGGTGAGAATTGGTGAATGAAAACGGAGTTTTTAGAAGTCTATTTATTGAGAAGATCAGCCAAAAAGATAAAAAAACAAAACAGAGTTCTGACGCGTAAAACCGAGGTTAGCGCCAGACGCTAACATTAGCGCCAGGCGCTAACGCTAGCGCCAGGCGCTAACGCTAGCGCCAGGCGCTAACGCTAGCGCCAGGCGCTAATGCTGGCGTTTGGCGCTAACTTAATTATTGACGCGTTTTCTAAAATCAGATAGAAATTGACCGTACAGGAGGATAAAATCGTATTTCCCTCAAAAACATTCTTTTATTCTGATTAAAACTCTAAAAAGTCAACAAAAGTCAATTTATCACTGCTAATTGAATTAGGAATGAAAAGAACCTTCTGGAAGAATCTAGAAGACTAAAATCATTCCTAATTGCATTAGGAATGATAAATCATATTAGGCCCTCCTCTAGATCTTTGGGCCGCATATAAGGCTCAAACCGGGCCCAGTTTAGTAAATTGGCCATAACTTCCTCAATATTCATTGGAATTGGGCTTATAATATATCGTTGGAAAGCTCTTGTCAAGATCCATCCAACTACATTACTATTGGATCCATATCATGGACCAACGAAACTAGATCGGCTGTTTTCTTAAAATAAGTTTTCAAAAACAGAGAGAAGAGAAAAGAAATTAAAACTTATCCGCAACACTAAACTTTCCACACTTTCACTTCATTCGATTATGATTCGACGTGAAAGGTACTGTAGGCGTCGCTCGAAGTGCGCCTACGTTAAAAGCATGTGTGAATATGCTTGGCACTCATAGGAAGTGGGAATTGACATAATACGATTAGGGACAAGGAAAGTAGGGAGCCGCCAACAAGTTTTTAAGGAACTTGTAAACCGTTCACGGATCATTTAAGGCAACCATGAATATGGGACAACGAAGACAACAACGATTGACCCGTGAAGGTTACACCCCATTCATAATCCATGAGATTACTAACTCCATATGGTTCGGAACCACGAAAGGAGGATCGAGGATGATGGTACGAAGTGAGTCATGGAGTCACATTCGCCCGTATTGGCCTCTACTCGATTCTTATAGTGAAAAGTGATTCCTGCGATCTCAAAGGCATACAAACAAAATATTCAATTTGCTCCAAACTATTATTAAGCTAAATTGGTTGAATATTAATGCAACACATAATTCTATAAAATTTGTGATCACTTGAATTAAGCAACAAGATTAAAAAGGAACCTAAACCGGTTGTCCAAATTATCTTATTAGGCGTGATTTTCAATTACATATTCCTTT